AAAACTAATATATTAGATATAGTAATAAAAGTATATTTATAATAAAAAGCAGATAATAAATAGTACTTTATAGCATATTATTTATATAAAATAATAGATATAAAATAAAACTATAATATTTATAATAAAGAATTAATAGCGATAGTTAATATATTTTAATAATAAAAAGTATATATAGAAAGAGCAAAAGATATTAAAGTATTTATAGACTATAAGAACTTAATATATTTTATAATAATAAAATAACTAAACTAATAATAAACTAGATAAATAGAACTATTAGTATAATATAAATTCCGAATTAACTATACGCTAGGGAAAAACAATATTATTACTAATAAACTTAATAAGAAACTTAACTTATATTAATAAAAATATAAGTACTTAGCAGTAATATTTAGATAAAGCAATAATAGAACGCTATATTTAATATAAGTTAATATATTAATAAAGGACAATTTTATTAACTAAGTATAAAGAATATATTAAAATAACAAAATAGCCTAAAAATAGATTAGATTAGGATAGAAAAAACTACTAATATATTAATAATAATATTATATACTAAAGAAGCTCCTATAAGAGCTAGTATAAAAACATTATAATAATCTAAAGTATAAATACCTAGGAATAATTAAAATATATAAACTTATTAGACAAAATTAGTTTTTATTAAATATAAAAATAGCAATTAATAAATATATTAAAAAATATCTTTTATATAAGAGAAATAAAGCTAAAAACTATAAAAAGTATAATTATTTATAAAAGATATATTTACTAAACTTTCTATAGTAGTATACTATAATAGATTTTATTATAAAGTTATTATTATTATAGGACCTAAAAATTAAAAAGATATATAATACTATAATAGTTATAGTTAATAGATATATTAAATATATTATAATAATACTATTTAATAAAATATATAATATAATATAATTAATATATATATTTTTCGACAAAGTAATTAGAATTAAGGAAATAATTTTAGATAGAAATAAACTATTTATATTTTTATTTTAGAAAATAATTATAGTAGAAACTAAAACTAAGTTAAAATTTTCTATAGCATACTACCTAGAAATAAATAGTTAAATAGAAAGAATAAATTAAATATTAAAAATATATTTACAATATTATATAAATTAAAACTAAAATAATTAGGTAAAACTTTTATTAATTATAGAATTAGCATTTAATAACTTAATATTAAGTGCTATAAAGACAATACTATTCTATATAAATTATAAAAGGAACCTAAATATAAATAATATACTAAAAGAATTACTAAGATTGCAAAAGGCTATTAAATATATATTAGAACTTAAATATATATATAAAAATATTATAAACTTTCTAGAAAAAGCATAAATTAGAATAAAAAAACAAAAAAACAAATATAGAATAAATAGACTTTAGCTAAAAAAAGGAAATAAAGTATAGCTTTATATAAAGAATCTTAGGACAAAATAACTAAGTAAAAAGCTAGATTACTTATAAGTTAGTTTATTTAAAATTTAGAAATAGAAAATACCTATTAACTATAAACTAAAACTATTAAATAATGCTAAAATATACTTAATATTTTATATATTATTTCTCGAAAAAGTAAAAAATATTAAACTAATTTTAATATTATTTAGATATAAACCTAAAGAAAATAATACTTTTAAAGTTAAAGAAATATTAAAAAAACAATATAGTTAATACCTAGTTAAATAAAAAAATTACTTAGAAAAAGAAAATATATAAAAACTAGAAAAATACTTACTACCTAACTGTATAAAGAAGCTTTAGCGCTTTTACTAATAATAATAATAGGAGTAAATAAGGCTTTTACTTATTTATTAAACTAATTAAGAAAAAAATTATTAGAATTATTAAAGAAAGAAAGATTGTTAATTATTAGATCTAATCTAGGAACTAAAATAAAAAGATATATATTATTTAATTGTTATTTTTACTCTGCTTTTTATTACTTATTTGCCTCTATTTCTAGAATATTTTTTATATTAAAATCCTTTAGTTATTTTAACTTTTTTAGATAAAAATGCCTTATTTTATAAATATATAATAGCTTTGAATAAATAGCTAGTTCCTACTTATCTAGATTATTAAAGATATTATACTACTTATTTATTTTTTTCTTAAAAGGAGCTAAATTGCATTTTTAGTTATATTTATTATACTTAATATAACGAACTAATTAATTAGTCTTTATATATTTAATACTTTAAAAAGAGCAATTTTTATATCGATATATAACAATATAATAACTATAACGTTTCTTTTTCTTAGAAGTATAATAGCGACGTTAAATACTATTATTAAAGGATTATATAATATAATTAGAAGTATTATATAATAAAGGAAATCAGTAATTAAGGATAGTTATATTAAAGAAAGAGATAATATTATAACTTTATATAATAAGTATAATAGAATAACTAGTATAGGATAGAAGCTATAGTTATATAGTATTATAAAGAAAAAATAACTAAAGGAAAGCAAGGATAACTAAAATACTTAAGTACGCTTAAACGCTAAAAGTATTAAGTAACTTTTAAATTAAATATACTTAAAATAATTAAGTAGTAAGTACTATTGAGCAAAGTAAGCAAAGTTATATATATAAACCCTTTTAATTTTACTTTTTAAATAGGTTTCTTTATATTTAATATAAGTTTTATTTTTTATTATAAGATCTAAAATAGTTATAACTTAATTCTATTTTGCTACTTTGCTTTATTTGTCTTTTAACCGCTATTTATATTCTAGGAGAACTAACCCGCTTACCTATAGTTAAATTAGCTAATATTATTTACTAGTTTAAATACTAAGGTCGCAATATTTATATAGTAAATAGTTACTTAACTTTAATTTATAATAATAAAAAAGTTCTACTTAAATAGGCTATTAACTTAGGATAAACTTTTAATTTAAAATTTACTTTTTAAATATTATAAATATTATTACTAAGATATTTATATCTACTTATCTTATACTTATAAGTAATAGTAACTAACTATAGTATAAAAATCTATCTTATAACCTATTACTAGCTAAGCTATAATAGTTAAAATAAGAATTTAACTTATTTATTAAATTATTATAATTTAATAACTTAAAAGGGTTTCTATTTTTATTAATATAACTATAAATTAATATATTTTATCTATATACTTACTTTAGTTTAACTTATTACTTATACTATATAATATTCTAATTAAGCTATTTAATTTTATTTTTAATATTCTATTAAATATTATTAATATTTAAACTATTTAAAAGAATTAATACTCCTTTATTAGAACCCCTTTAAGAGTTTATTAGAAAATTATTACTTTATATATAAAGATTTTATATTTTTATTATAGTACTTTAAGATAAATTACTAGCTTTAAGATAGTATAATAATTATTATTATAATATATTATTTATATTCTATATATGTTTTTATATAAAGATTATGTTAGTAGCTAATATATATACTATAGCTATTACTTAATTTTATATATATAATTAAAGTTATATTTTAATTTATTTTAGATTATATAAAGTAAGGAGGATTTAGAACTATTAAGACTTAGATATATAATATAGAATAGTATTAAAAATATATATAAAAAAGGCTCCTATTAAATTTTAATAAGTTTCTAATAGGTACCTAATTTTAAAGATATTTTAGAAAAACTATAAAGGAAAAACTAATTCCTATTAAAAGAAAGTAGGGACCCTTATTATTTAATATAAGATCTCCTATCTTTAGTAGTAGGCTCTAAGATATTTCTCTTACTTCTTAGTAAGCTAGATTGCTAATCTACGCTTCTATATACATGGTAAACTATAGTGTAATAAATATAAACTAAGTAAAAAAAAGCTTAGTTTTATATTATTATATTATTTTATTATATTATAAATAATATTATAATTAAATATATATAAGCTTAACTTAGAAAATTATAGTAAATATTATTATATAATAATATTTTTATATAATAGGTTATATTATTTAAATATATTAACGTTTTGTAATTATTTTTAAATAAAACTTTATAAAAAGTTAAACTAGTAATAAAATAGCTTATTATAAATATTTAAAAGCTTTTTCTAACTAGGCTATAGAGCAGTATATAAGGGAGTAATAATTTAATTATATAGATAGTTTATAAGATATATAAAATTAAAATACTATAAAATAGTTAGAATTTACTATATTTATATTTAAAACTAATAGTTAATTAATATTTCTATTAGTTAGTTTAGTTTTTATTTTATAAACTAATAGTTTATATAGGAAGACCCCCTTATTAGTTGGTTTTAGCTCGAAAACTAATAGTTATAACTGTTGCCAATACTAATCTTAACTATTATAAGACTATACGTGTCCCTTACACTCTACTACATCTCGCGCTCGTCTAGTATGTGCTCAGATCTCGCTGTTCCAAGCAATTACTAGCAAGTATTGAAATCGGCCGAAACACAGGTCTTGCTTAGCGCAAGGAGGGGCGGAGTGCAGCGAAAGAGTCGTTTGTATGAGGGTGCTTTTGTCGATGATATGAGTTAAACACGCTTCTGTATGGGCTTGTCGCACTTCGGCTTTCTGAAGCTGATTGTCCCGGCTCTCTTTGAAACGACGGAGTCTGTCCGCCGAGAAGAGTGAAGTCGGGTCTAATGCTCTGTGAACAGACTCATCGGCTGAAGTCCGGCAAGTCGAAGGTGTCACGGATGTCTCCGCTGTCACGCTAACTCTGACTGGCTAGTCCCAGTCTAGGCTTTATCCAGACTAGTGTATCCGCTGCCAAGTCGTACAATCGTTTCTCGCGATTTCATTGTTCCTTACACCTTCCAACCAACTCATCACTAACAGTGTGCATGATCTACGTCACGACTCAAGATGATAGTACAGTGTCATCGTCAACTTCTACTCCTAGATGACATGGTTGAGCCTCTTTCATGACCCTCTCTAAGCTCGCCCAGTAACCCACATCTCAATGCTCTTGACGCCAATTAGCCATCTCCCCAACGCAAAACGAAAGCGCCATCACAGCAAGGGAGACTCTGACATCTCTGACGGTACGCGTGCGAAACGTTTGCCTCCAAACGCCTGGGATCAGCTGCCCAAGGTTTGGCTATCTGACTACGCACTCGAAGAGCAGAGACGGAGATATCTTCTCGCAGACACCACTCCTGCTCCATCATCATCATCACCAAGTGCATCGTCACCAAGTATATTTTCAACAAACGCATCATCAACAAGTACTACTGCTGCGCTTGGAACACTAGCACAATATGCGCGACACGGCGGACCGGATCTGACAGACATTCGCGGCGTGAGTTCCTTTGCTTTCCCCAATTTATGATTTATTCTGATCAGGGTTCAGTACCACAAGTGCACATCTAGCTACACTTCTCTGACTACTATGCCTTCTCACACACCAACCGGGTCTCAACAAGATGAGAACCCTATGTCAAGCGGCCAATCTTCTGGCCCTTATGATAGCAATTTCCAGAGCCGACTGACTAGGTTCAATTTCTTTCCACCAGACTTTGACTGTGATATGGGAGCCGGAACCTGCCTAAGCGAGCCGGTCAACAAGGATGCCATTCTGCAGCAGCTCAAAATCCCTCGACCGGATCTCTCTCTCGACAGCTTCACAGCAGACGACTACAAAGAATGGAAACGGACATTCGTTCAAGCCCGGACAGAAGGCACTATTATGCGTGAATCATTCCCAGCCTTGACCGGCGGCATGAAAATCCCAAGCGACGGGGACCTTCTTTGGAACAACCTTGACCCGCTTATCGAAGGCGTCGAATTATCACAAGCGAAACCTGACTTTTTTGACGGTACTAATCCTTTAGACCTCCAAGTGTCAGTACTCGATCTTCTGGGAAACTACATTGTCCCATCAAAGGAAGGCCAAGCGCCCTGCCTACCCAATTTCACCGTAGAGGTCAAAGGGCCTAGAGGCACCTACGACGTGCTAATCCGCCAGGCACTCTATGACAGCGCACTGGCAGAGCGAGCCATCAATTGCGTATTAGCTTATGTCGATCAGGACGTCGATCCTCCCAACTTCGCGCGCACGCTCAGCTGCACCTTCATCGAAGGCCACCTACGCCTCTACTCTGTCCATCGCACAAAGAAGCCCACGTCAAACGAGAGACCCTATGTCCCGCATATTCATGTGCACCTTGTTGAGAGCTTCGACCTAAAACTTCGTCGAGAAGTTTGGCTGCAGGGAGTGACTGCATTCCGCAATGCGCGGGACATGGCAAAGCAATGGCGAGACGAACTGGTCGTGAAAGCAAATCAGAAAGCTTTGAAGCCACAGCACAACAGGCTCAAAGCCGGCAATGTGGCAGACTCGTTTGGGTCGAATGAGAGTGGAGGCACGAATGGCACTAATTCCACCGATGAGTTGAGTCCCGACTATGGCAAGAGGCAGAAAATGAGTTGATGATAGTGACACGTGCTAAATGGAAGGAATGTAAGATAACTTCATGAACAAGGCGCGTGCCAATCGTGCCGGTAGCATATGATACCCCCGTGCTTAGTTAGCACCAATAGCAAATGACATCCTTAACTTCATTCGCTACTTGATATGCTCAAGCCTTTAGTAGAGCGGACATTCAATTTTCATGACCTTGTCTCATGTACAATGCTACAGTTGCGGCACAATCCCCTTCAGTAAGTAATGCCTGCAATCAACTAAAAACACGCTTCACAACAAAGAAACCACAGGCTTGTTCCAGAATATTTCGCCGTGAACTCACCCCGAGCATCATCTACAAGCACAAAGAAAGCCATATACCCCAAGAAGCCTACGTGAGACAACATTGAAGTCAGCGGGCAAACACCTACACGAGCTATCTTCTTGTAAAGGCCTTTGCACAGTAATCACAAACAACTAAAACGCTTCCAAGGCGGAAACGCTGGGAGGTATGCGATCTCCCCAATTCATACCTTCCGAGGAGGAGAATAAATTTAAGCAGTGAATCTCTTACGTTTTTCCACATCCTTACGTCCTGTTTCCCATAAAAGTAGATGGGGAAAGGGGGGGTTAAGGCTTCGCTGTTGAACACTATGCTTTCTTACCTTACGACTAGGGAGCAGCAGTTTGATCTGCTGGGTAGACTGCTCCGCTGCCACTTCACGAGATTCTGTTGTCTTTTCGTTTGCGTAGGCTATTCGTTTCCTGTCCTTTCCCCCCTCACACTATTTGCAAGTTTATAGATGTAGGCGAGATGTTGGAACTTTTCTGTTGAAAGGGGCTTATGCTACGCTCTTCGCGGCTTTGGACTATATTTTGAAGGTAGAGATTGTGGGGAGTATTGCATTTGGCCAATGGGGAAAACCTTGATGTGAATTGAGATGTGATGAATAGACACTCAGGCTGCGCTTGAGTAGAAATTATGATCTATATACGTTCGCAAGTAGAGTTCATGTACTAGGAGGTAGGAGGAGAGATGTGGCTCTCGCTGTTGTTGGTATGAGTACGTTTATTCTAAACGTAGCATTATGACCTGAGATAGAAAGCGCTAGTTGAGGACCATTGTTTGAATCATAATGCTAGGAGACTTAGTTTCGAGACTCAACAACAGGCACACTCGCAAGGTCTAGATCTTCAGAAATATAGAGGATAAATGCGTTTAATCTAAACGCATATATTCTTGACTCTGACTAGGTAGCTAAGTATTCAGTATGAGTTAAGTTAGTCCTTTCCCAGCCCCTCCCCTCCTCCGTCCCTCTCGCCACAGCTCAACCCAATCTCCTCCAGTCCCCTTCCCCTCCACCTCAGCACATCAACAACCCCCACCCCCACCCCGCGCCCCCTCCCCCGTCCCTGAGTGGCTGCGCAGGCACTCCAAAAGGAGCGGATAGCACTAAGCGCCGACGATCATTTCATAGCTAGACATGTGCCCTCATCGTCTCGCTCCCAGAATCCCAAAAGCGGCGGCGGCCTTCCCATTCTATTACCCGAGCTAATATACTTCAACACCTTATTTCATAAACATGAGAGTTCAGAGATGGAGGTGAAGAAATGAGCCGTGCTGCCCGTTGCAGGAAACGCGGCAGTAGAAGGGCAAAAGTGGCGTTGACGGTGGGAGAGTCCACCGGCGGAGGGGCTAAGACTCCGTGGTCAGCGTTAGCGTCGTTACGTCATGGCGAGTTTAGGAGTTGGTGTTCCCACGCCTATGGTCGCTTGACGAAAGGCGTATGGGGAGAATTCGTGGTGCTATTCTCGGAGCGGGGGAGGGGGTATCGGCGATGTGGCTTGAGGCGTGTCGTTTGCTTAGACAGTATCGGAGTTGACGGTGGGTGGTTGGTGTTTGGGGTTTGCTGCTAGGTAATAGCAATCTGCGTTTGTCGACCATGGATGAGGACATAGGTGCTTTGTGGACGAGTGACAATGTATACGTAAGGGGCGTTTTATATAAAGTGGCTGTGAGACACTTGACGGTATTTATTACAATCGGAAGTCTAAGTAGGTTCTTTGTGTTCATGCATTCGGGACTTCCATAAGGAAGTCTGTTCTTTGTCTCCGGACCATACTAGGGTCTGTACAGTGGATTTCTGAGACTCTTCAATAGGACGCAGAGGTGTTTGATTAGGCTGAAATTTAGCGACGAAACGCAAAAGAGTCAAGGAATCAATTGAGAGCAGAGGTCTCCCTGTTCATAATAATGGCCTCCTACTAGTCGCAATGAAGCTTTTCGGGCAAAGGCCGACTCTCTAAAGCCTCCCTACAAATGACCTTGTGTTTACTCAACCGTTAGATTCTTTCAAGGAGACGAGCCCAGATAAATGAGAAAGACGACCAGACTCTCTCAGAAGCCTATGGATTCGAAATGCTATAGGCTGGACAGAGTCTGGAGAGTCTATCGCCGCAATTGTATAGTGTAGAACATTATCAGTAGGAGATTGACCCAGAACATTGACATCTTTGTCGAGGCTGCAGGCTCTGTAGTCTTTCGCAAAGCAAGTACCAGGCATCCATCGCGCAAGTATAGTGAAAGCGTGACAGAGAGGAAGCAATCTCACGCAGATGCTCCCTCCTAATGAAGTTGTAATGCTGTCCACTTCATATGCAGGTGTCTAACGTTTCGTTCCAGCGAGCTTTCTTGTCTTCGAAGAGCCTTCTAAATTTGGAAAAGGAGATTTCACCTCACCACTAATTTCAGTGTACACTGTCGTATTTACTCTCAGCTCCCTTGTCCGTTGGCAAGGCAGGCTCATCTCATCATTGTCTACATTAGTAAATATGCTTTTATCGATGCAGAGAGCTTTCGACATTGTTTTTGTACCCATATCGGAGGTAGTGGCTCCGGCATGATCTTATCATCAACTTGAACAGGACATATGTTTCTACCCAGCGACGAGCCAGTCACTAGCACAGCTGACCCAGGACCCATGACCATCGTTTACGATAAATAATGTCGAAAGCACGATGCCCTCCAAAATTCCCACCAACGGAAAGGATAATGCATCTAAGACAACATTGAACCTTGTGGCTACGATCGCTGCATCTCTCGAGCCAGAATCTAACCACATCGCCATGTCGAATCAAGTGAAGCACGAAGCCAGAACTCCCTTTGAGGCCATCGTGAACAGGCCAATTCGCCCTGAAGAAACGTTTGTTAAGCACGAATTCGGGGCATCTTCTGAGTCTGAGGGACAAAGTCAAACCGCCGAACTCTCACGCATTTCCATAGACGAAGTGGCTCCCGTCTTGTACCGAAGCCCAGCATTGCCACATCTCTTGTTGCTTCTCACGATGTGACGAATGCTCCTCACAGAGCGAGAGCGGCCATTAATGCGCCTTGTTCCGTACTCAAGATGGCCAACATCACTGTGAAGGCTAGTATCGGAGCTCGTAGATGCCCACATCGCCTTTGAGCTAGTTCCTAGCGATGTAGATATCGCCACTCCATCATCATCCACCTATTCCGCCTCCAACACCGTAGAAGTCGCTACGCCGGCGACCACAATCACAACCACGATCACGACCACTAGCACTGCCCTTCCGGAGACCGTGCGCACAAACACCAAACATGACAAACGCTAGAACAACTACGTGAGCACCGCGGGTCTTGAACTCTGATCTGACGCTGGCAATACCATGGCTCTTGTCCCCTTTACCAGCCCACAAAGCCTTCCTCGCATCCACCTCCACCTTCGTCCGAGTCTTCCGGTTTTCCCTCCGATCATATCTCGAGCAGCGTAGCGCCTTGCCTTCCATAGCTTCTTCCCCTGGAAATGGAGTCACAAACCCCCCCACCACTATCTTTCCAAGCACGGCACGACGCACCCTCCGCTCTCTTACCCCCACCGTCATACGCTTAGTCTTGCCACCTAACCCACCATCCTAACCATGCTATTCCTGGACCGTCCCTGTGCCTCCGCCAGCAACAATGTAGTAGCAGCAGACACCTCGCCGGCATCATCTCCAATGCTCCTCCTCCCCCACCACCCCTTTCCCCTTTTCCACGCCCTCCCACGCCCTCCCATCCCAAGACCACCAAGCGTCCCCCTGAACAAACTGTACAATCCCAATGGCTTCGAGGGCATTTCATTCTCGCTTTATGAGAGTATCAACGGTCATCTGCCAGAAATAAGGATTCCCCTTCGGCACCCCCCTCTTTCTCTTCCTCTTTCGCCTTCTTCCCCAAAATTGACGGTATCGGCCGGCCGGGTGGGTGGGGGTTGATTGGCTGACGAGTTGTGGTGGTTCAGGAAGGGGGCGGGGCGGCGCCATGGGAAGGTGTGTGTGCACCGCTGTTGCTCACGCGCGAGGCGGTGGAATATGGTGGGGCGGACGGAGTGAGGTGGCGGTGTGTAGAAGTGGGAGAGAACGGTTGTGAAGGGCGAGGAGTGTATGTGCTGCTGTGTGGAGCTTTTCGGCAGGCAGGGGGGTGGGGAAAGTGGCTTGTGGAGAGGGAGGTAAGTGGAGAGGGGAAATGGGAGGGTTTGATGATTGTGAGAAGAAGGGGTGGTGTTATGGTGGGATGCGTAAGAGGTCGAAGATGGTGATGTTAGATCTGGGTCTCTGGAGAGAGAGTGAGGCAAAATGGGGACGGATCCGGAGGAATGATTGGTTCAGTGATCATTGATGATGACGAGGCAAAGTCGGCTTAGTTGTTTGGAGTAGATCGTCTGGTTCACTGGATTCAGTTTTAAAAAGTGCTTTCGAGTTCTGCGCTCGTGAACGGCCAATTGGTCGCAAGCCAAGGGGGCTTCTGCGTACTCTCGCAAAGTCAGTAACGAATAGCGGCAGACTTCGCAGGTGAATATGCGTGGTTGCGCTGTCTCGCTATTCTACGAGGTGCAGCATCTTTGTGACTGTTTGTGATGCGCTACTTCACTTCAATCGCCCGTGACATAGAATATCATCGCCTCCTCGACGCAGGCTTTGAAAATACTGCTCTGATGTTATCGAAGTGGCCTCGGTCCTGCAAG